TCATCACCTTACACGAAATAGGGTGAATACATCTTATTACATATGAATATAGTTAAAGTTTCAATTGAATTTTGCATATCCTTGCTTTCCCAAAAGTTGTCCTTATTCTAGATGCAATGGACTACAGTTTCGACCTCGCATAGGTCTTAGAAACTCCCTCATCTTCTTACTTTCCAAAATAATATTTTACACTTAACCTTCATTCATGTATGAGGTTCAGATTGATCCAGAATTGTGAGCGGATGGGGTAATAAATTTTATCTATTTTTACTCAGTGGCTCTTCTAGACCAGTTTTCTTCTCTTTTTCTCTCTTTTGCACATAACCACATACAAACTATATTTATAAGCCAGAATTAGTTGATATTTAGTTTCCAATATTCTTTCTTCATATTTAGGATGCTATTTGTTTTATTAATTTAAACTCATTCTTTGATATTCCGTTTAGCATTGCCGTCCCCATACCCGGCAAAACCTTTGGATATAGACGACTCCATCTGGTGTCACGTTGCGCCCATATGTCCATTTACCTCCGAGTTGGTGGGCATCTCGGAGGGCATCTCAAGATTTTCTAAAAGAGGCCATGATCAAGTAAAGCATTATTGTTTTTTGCCGCTCCATTTGATCAACGATTCTCATATCTTTCTTGCAAGCTAGTAAGATGATAGCACTAGGAATCTGGTCGATGAGTTGTATAATTTCTTGTTTTGCCCAAAATGATGATTTATCTTCAGTCTATTTCGCCCTATTAATATCCTCTTATATATTGTCTTTGATCTTTCCCTATAGTGGGCCTTTCTTTCAGGTATTTTATATCGTCTTCTTGACTAATCTATACAGTGAGTTTTGTTATTTCGGATCTTACCATAGCATAATTCTACACATTTTTTTGAGTTTCTATTTTTATATTTTCAGGAATAAACTTCCGGTAATTGTGTCTCTTCTTGCCAGTAAGAAGAAAATGGAACTTAAAGTGAAGCTTCATCTGCCTTTTCACAACTATCCAACTATCAACTAACGTTCAAAGAAATAAATGAACCACTAATATGCAAAGTGACATATTCTTCAATAATAATTCAATGAATTGAATTTTTAAATAAATCTTCATCGATAATTGGATTCTCATAAAATAAATATTGAATAAATTTGCAAAATTAGGAAAAGTAAATTTGGGAAGGCAAGGATATGTAAAATTTTGATAATACCACATAGAGTAAGCACAAAGTAAGCACCAGATAAAGGATCCGCTAACTCATTTGCTTGTATTATATATATATATATATATATATAT